CCAAATGATTTTGAGTTTTGTTCCACATTGTTCTCCCTCTCTATCCAGGATCTTCTGCATAGATCCCCTTCCAAGTAATTTTTTAAAAAATAAATTCTTGCTAGAAAACGAAATGAAAAACTAATCTTTCACCTAATGTTTGGAAATGGAAGTTAAAATTCTCTTCTGGTTCTATCTGCAGGATCCAATTAGCCACCAAGTCCTTTTTTTTTTTTTTTTTTCTGTTTACTATCCCTTTTTTCGCTTCCTATAATTACCAGTTCCTTTTACTACTTCTGCCTTGAGTTACAACATCACCAGCTGTCATACTGTTGCATGGGCCTCTGCTTGTATTTAGGGCTCAATTAATAGAGTACCAATTCTGAGTTGACCCAGAGCACAGTGTAATAATTCAACTTTAGAAAGTCATCAGAGTAAAATGTACAGAGCTCTACAAGTAGGTTAAATCCAACAAGCAAGTCTGTCATGAACAAGTTGGTGAGGAGAAATAAAAAATGGATTACAAGTCGTCTTGATATTCCAGGGCACTAAGCTGAGTACATCATTAGTGCTTAGCAAGTTTTAAGGAAATTATAGAACAAGATGTGAACACTGTACAAGCAGGAGTATATTTTTGAATTATTCTTTCTAGCAAGCTAGAATACATTTGCAGGGATCCAGGTGAGGAGAGGGAACTCAGGCACACCCAAAGCAGCAGGGCAGGAGACTGGGAGAAAGAGGATTAAAAGCCAGGAATCAAGACAGAGGAGCAGTCATTCGCAGGGATCCAGGTAAGGAGAGGGAACTCAGGCCTGCCCAAAGCAGCAGGGTGGGAGAGCAGGATAAAAGGGATTAAAAGCCAGGAACCCAGACAGAAGAGCAGTCAGTAGAAGGGACCAGGTGAGGAGAGGGAACTCAGGCACACCCAAAGCAGCCAGCGGGAAAGTGGGAGAAAGGGGATTAAAAGCCAGGAACCAGGACAGAGGAGCAGTCAGCCGCAGGGATCCAAGTGAGGAGAGGGAACTCAGGCACGCCCAAAGCAGCAGGGCGGAAGAGTGGGAGATGGGGATTAAAAGGCAGGAATCTGGACAGAGGAGGAGTCAGCCACAGGGACCTGGGTAAGGGTGATACGAGAGGTTTCCAACAGGGAGACAAACTTGTCTGTTGGTCTGTCCTACCGTGGTGACATGTTGCTGTGAGTTTTGAGGCTGAGCAACTGGTGTTTCAGATCTAGCGGGATGCACATGGTGCACAGGTATCAACCCAGTTTATAGACTGAGACAGACTAGGAAGAAGGAAGAGGCCAGGGAAAACCTTATGCATAGCAAAGAAACACTGTTTGATACATTATCGTACAACTTTATGAATAGTCCAGTTAGGTTAGAAGGCTCT